AGTTTTCTTCTTTGGTTCAACTGTAATGATGGTGATGATCTTCAGTCAGGAGCTGATTGGTTCTTTTTCTTTTCCTCACGTCAGATGGACGTGAAACAAAGTCAATGTCTTCATGAAATCACTGAACAATAAAGATGGAGATCAAGTCAATACATGTGGGGTTTTCTCTTCAACCAACAGTAATCATTACTACAGTATCAACTGTGTAATATTTAGTACTGGGCAAATTAAAAAGTGTGGCCCTTGGTCAGGTTAAATGTGGCCCCCACTTCATATCTGTAAATAAATGTGGTTTGTTTTGGTTTAATTAGTTTATAATTGTTTTGATTATTTTCAAATCAATCTGCTATTCTACATTTATTTTCTGTGAATATAATCTACTCACTTTAGCATATAATAAAAAAAAGAAAACACAAAGATAAAACAAATCATTTTGTTAAAAAAACAAAGACAGTATTAACTATGAAGCTATAAAAAGATTAAACACGAGAATTTGTAAAAAAAAAAAAAAAAAAAATTTTTAAATGTACGTATGTTCTTCAGCAGAACAGTTTTTATATTTCCTCATCAGAAATGAATCATCTTCTGACTCCACAGTGACACACACACACACACACACACACACACACAGAGGGAGGTTGTAAACAGGAGGGAACAGCCTTTATTCTAGGTGTGATATGTACAGAGAGAACGGCTGTTTGACATTTATAATAATATGAACAAAAAGTCGTCATAACAATTGCACATCCTCAACTTCCTGTTTAACCAAACGCTGGTTCAACAGGTTCAACAGGCGAAAAAACCCTGGAAACAAACGTCACCGCTGGGTTGGCTCCTCCTCAGAAAACACAATAAAAATAATAACAATAAACCTGGAGAAGGACAGAGTCCAGAAACGCCTCCTACGATGATGGTAAAATGTAAAAGGAACAGAAACAAACACACACACACAGACTGTGGTTGCGGTTGCAGTGACAGAACCAGACGATCGTGTTTGTCTAAAATATCTTCCCGGGCCGGTTTGACATCAAAACAGTCGACAACATGAGGAGTCGGTCAGACGGTGATCGTCTGGTTTCCTTTGGTTCTGGCAGAGAGTAAATGAATAAAAATCATTTACACAAACACATTTCACGGAGTCTTCGCAAAAACATCCCACGTTTCTAAAGATCTGCGTCTGAACGAGGCCAAATCTGGTTCAAACTCCGACTTCTGTCCGTGTTCTAGTCAGAATCCTGACTTATTCCTTCATTTAAAAAAAATAAAAAATACTTTGACTAAATAAAAACAAGTTGTTCATTTTAAAAGGGCTAATAACATCTGGCTACAATCTGCTTAGCATCAGAACGTTAAGAAAACGTTTCCGACAGCATTTAGCGTGCAATTTTAGCATCTTACTAGCATGTTGACTCCATGCTAACACCACCATATCAATAGGTCACACTGTTGATCTGATGACTGCTAGCAGAGAATCAGTTTGTGCACTTCTGTGTGTGACTTTGGTTAGCGCTAGCATTAGCCCCTCAAAATTTTTACTTTAGGTTCATGTGAACGCCTTTACAGAACAATTCCTTTTAGTGAAGTTGATAAATGCTAACAACAGTCAGTACATATTAAAGTCGTACATATTTAGCATCCTTTAGCGCGCCAACCGTTTGCTAACCCCTCTGTTCCAACAACTTGGCAACAAAATGGCATCTAAGTTAGCAGGTTGCTAGAGGCTAACAACCAGCATCTTGTTTTTCATCCCTTCATCTTGCTTTACAAATTAGCTTAAAAAATTACAAAGTCACTACAAACCTGGAGTCGTCCTGGGAAAAGACAGATTTTTACTTAAAAATGGCGTTAAAAAATATTTTGTTCTTCATTTTCTTACATTACACATTTTTTTATGCCTCTCTGCGCTCCACGTCCGACGCCTTCGTTGACCCGACGCAGTGGGGCAGTGGGTGAGCCACAGCTACATGGCAGACAAACGTTTATACCCAATCACAGGTTCAAACTCTGTCATTGAATCAATAGATGGAGCTCTCACTGCTTCGTGAATTAACTGCTGCCTTGATTTGGTTAAGAAGTCCCCCTCCCCCCACCTCCTCCCCCCAAACCTGCCTTCCTCTAATCACGGCGTCGACTAAATGCTTTAAAAAGACAGAAAGAAAAGCAATTACAGCGATCGAAGGCAATTAAATCCTGACGACAATTTTCCCTTTTGTTAAAACAGGAGAAAGAGCGACGCTTCAGCTCCTCTCACACTGAGACGGTGCCCCCCCCCCGCTCCGCTCCCCTCCCCCGTCCTCTCTTCATTCTGCTGCCGTTCATACAAAATCACATTGTTATTTCTGCTCTTTGTGTCAGGACTCGGCACTCGTGTCTGCCTCCGGTGGCGGCTGCCGTCTTTGGCTGTGGCAGGCAGCAGGTGGCCTGTGATGAAAAATTCAGTGCAGAGAGCGACTCTGGAGAGGAGACGGTGGGGGGAGGGGGGGTGAGATGAGAGGAAGGTGGGAGGTGAGGAGAACAGGTGGAGGAGGAAGTGAAGTGATGAGAGGCAGAGCAGCAGGGCCGGGCACAGGATCAGAGGAGAGCCCCCCCACGCCCCCTGCTGGGTGTCGTTCATGACGATATGAATCATTTATGCAGCGTTTCCTTTGATTGATAACACTCAGAACCAACCGGAACAGCCGGGGTTTAAGGAGGACACCAAGACGATGTTGGACCAAACTTTGAACCACGCCACCTCTGGTTTTTGAGGCGACAGAACTAAGGACCTGGACCCAGATGATGCAGTACCAAACAGAACCACTAGAGTAGGACTGAACAATCATCAAGACCTGGTGCAGGTCACAACCTGCAGACCAGAGCCCTCTTCAGGTCACACCGTGGATTTACACAGGACTGGATTCAGAACTTTTCCACATTTGTCCTCTGTGGACAACGAGGGCTGGTTATGGGAGGGTGGCTGGTTCAAATCCCTGCTCCTGAGTCTGGTGTTAGTCAGTCTTCATAAAAAATAAATTCTAAAATCTTTCTTCATCAACAGCTTCTCTGTAGAAAAATAAATAAAAACATTTTTTTCCTAATTTGTAATTCCTTCCACTAGTCTGAGAAAAATAGCCCCGGTGTACGCTGCTGCCCCCTGTAGGCTTCAGGGCTCACTTTCTGCCACTGGACCAGGACCAGGTGCTTGTGGGTCTCAGCACAGGCTCCGCCTCCAGTCAGCTGCTCTGGTTGCGTGTTGGTGCAGGACGTAAAGACACAAACACCAACACGGTGCACACACCTGACCGTGGTCCAGCTCTCGGACCGAGGGTGTCCTCCGGCGTCCTCCGGCAGGACCTTCACACCTTCTCCTGGGTCAGAAGTCCTTCTGAGTCCAAAAACATCGTTCTCCTCAGGAATAGAAAAGTCGTCCTTTCTCAGAGCCTAATCGATTTAGCCGCGCTAACTGCGAAGGTGAAGGCGGGACATCGTGGCGATACGGACCTTTGGGAGACGCCGGGTCCCTCGGGTGAGGCGGGGGGGAGTAACCGTCGTAGCTGCCGCCGGTCTCCTGCATCAGTTTCCCTTTGGCCTCCTGCTCTCGGCGCCGCTGCTCCTGCCTCAGGAGCTCCTGGGCCTCCAGGAGGACCCTGGCGTTGACGCCCACAGCAGCGGGGTAGCCGTTCCTGGAGCCCTGGTAGCTGGAGTACCTGGGGTTGTCCTTGGCCGTCTGGAAGCCCTCTCCCGGTGGGTAGGCTTTGTCCCAGGAATCCTGGGAAACGGTGCTGGGATTTTTCCTGGGCTGCCTGAGCAGAGAGGAGAAGACAGAGCGTGAGGTGTGAACTTTGTTGTTTGTTTTTTTTTGTTGTTGTCGAGGACTCCTGGTGTTGGACCATCGTTCCAACCCCGTCAGCTTCTGCTCCACTTCAGCTGTATTTATAGTCTGAAGGCACAGATCTGCCTGCTGTTCACAGGGACCTATTTATGGGATGTTTGGAGGAGGAAGTGGAGGAAATGTTTTATCCTCACTGAGAACCGACTGGAGGGAAAAAAAAAAGACGTTTTTATGAATGTGGAGCTCAAGATGTGGTCCATGACCTTTGGACAAAGACAACAACATCAACATATATATATATTTATATATAAAGTTACAGCTAACAGTTAGTTTTTATGGAAACGTTTCTGGTTTCCCAAATACTTCAGTCTCTTTAGCTACATTTGGCTAATTGCTAACTAATCTTTTGCTAACTTATACTTAGTTTAGCGAAGTTTTCCAAATGTTTGGCTAACCTTAGCTAGTTTGTGTCATCATCATTTCACCTTCTGATTATATTTGCCTTGATTGTATTTCGTTATATTTACTGAATCATTTCATGCTTAACTTTATATTTATCTCTTTTTCCTTTACCACCAATTGCTGTTCAGTTTAGCTTTAGCGCTCCTGGCTAACAGATTCTGT